TTCATGCTTATGATAATGTGTGTATTAATATGGCTGTCGAAGGTCTGTCTATTTGTGATATTACCCTTGCTATTAATTTGATTGAGAAACTCCCTCCCTCTCGGAAGGATTTTTGTAACCAGTTAATGCACAAAAAGAAAGACCTAATCTTAGAGGAGCTTGTAGGACACCTCAAAATTGAGGAGGAAAATCGTATCAAAGACAAAGGCCATTCTGTTTTCCCTTGCTCTTCTTCTCCCAAAGCCAATATTGTTGAACCCAAACCAAACAACCGGTCCAAAGCCAAAAACAATTATCTTAAGCCTAAAGGGAAGGTTGAGAAGTACAAGTTTAAGGGTACCTGTTTTGAGTGTGGGTTGACTGGTCACAAGGCTAAGGATTGCAGAGTCAAGAAGAAGAACAATGGTTAGAGTCAAGCAAATCTTATTGAGGATTCTAATGTTATTGTTGCTGTTGTTTTAGAAGCTAACTTTACAGGTAATGCTGCTGAGTGGATTGTTGACACTGGAGCAACCAGGCACATTTGCGCCAACAAGGACATGTTCACCACTTATGACAAGGTTGAAGGTGAAAATGTCTTCATGGGCAACTCAGCTTCTGCCTCTATCTCACTCATACTTCTGGAAAATTGCTTACTCTCACTAATGTTTTGCATGTTCTAGAGATGCGCAGGAATTTAATTTCTGGCTATTTACTCATGAAAGCTGGACTAAAGCTCTCCTTTGATTCCGATAGATTAGTTCTTACTCGCAATGGGGAATTTATGGGGAAAGACTTTTGTAACGGGGGGCTTTTTACTCTTGATGTTAAAGTTAACACTATGAATAAGAATGCTAGTACTTCTTCTGCTTATATTGTTGAGTCTATTGATTTATGGCATGCTAGATTAGATCACGTTAACATGATTCGATTAAAAGGCTTAAACATTTAAATTTGATTCGACATTTTTCTAACACTGATTTTTCGAAATGTCAAATTTGTGTTGAAGCCAAATTCACAAAGAAGCCATTTAAATCAGTAGATAGACAAACTGAAGTACTAGAATTTGTTCATAGTGACTAGGGTGATTTTAATAATCACGAGAGCAGAGGGGGTAAAAAGTATTAAATTACTTTTGTTGGTGATTGTTCACGTTTTTGCATGGTTTATCTTCTCAAGTCTAAGGACGAAGCTAAGGAAATGTTCCTCAAATATAAGGTAAAAAACCAATTGAACAAGAAGATTGAGAGAGTTAGGAGTAACAGGGGTGGTGAGTATAGCCCTGACACTCTTAAGGCATTTTGTGAGCAACTCAGCATTATACATGAGACGACAGCTCCCTATTCACTCGAACAGAACGGTATAGCTGAAAGAAAAAATAGAACTTTAAAGAATATGATGAATTCTATGCTTATTAGTTCTGGGCTTCCTAATAACATGTGGGGGGAGGCTATTCTTTGTGCTTGTCATGTTTTGAACAGGGTACCTCATAAGAAGCTTGACAAGACTCCATACGAGATATGGAAAGGTCGAGTGCCAAACCTGAAATACTTGAAAGTGTGGGGGTCCCTAGCGAAAGTAGGCATACCTAGTTTCAAGAGGGACAAAATTGGTCCTAAAATGGTTGATGCTATTTTTGTTGTCTATGCTTATTAAAGTGCAGCTTATCGTTTCCTTGTTAAAGGTACTAAGAACTCTTATGCAGGTGGACATATCATTGAGGCAAGAGATGCAATATTCTTTGAGAACATTTTTCCTTGGAAAATGTCTCCCCCTAATGATAGTGAATTACCTGGTAGTAGTTCAGTTAATTTACCTATTGCTAATGCTCCTATTACTAACGATGATTTTGCTTTGGAGCCGAGGAAAAGCAAAAGGGCACGAAAGGACAACAATTTTGGTCCTAATTTTATTACTTCCTTTTTATCAGAATCTTCCTTAATTGATGATGATTTTGTGCATATTTTTGTTTTGGAAGATGATCCAAGAACCTATGATGAGGCAATGAGGTAAGTTGATGCTGTTTTTTGGAAAGAAGCAATTGATAGAGAGTTGCAATATTCTCAATAATAATACTCGGGAATTGGTTGAGCTTCCTAGAGGTTGCAAGCCCATTACTTGTAAATGGATCTTTAGGAAAAAATTGGAAGCCGATGGATACATAGACAAGTATAAGGCAAGGATAATGGTAAGGGGTTTTACTCAAAAGTTTGGCATTGATTATTTTGATACTTACTCCCCTGTCACTAAAATTGCAACCATTAGGACTGTAATTGCTCTTGCTTGCATTTTTGATCTTGTTGTTCACCAAATAGATGTCAAAACTGCTTTTTTGAATGGTGACTTGGATGAGGAGATTTACATGGTCCAACCTGAAGGGTTCGTTGTTTCGGGCCAAGAGAACAAGGTTTGTAAGTTAGTCAAGTCATTGTATGGGCTTAAGCAAGCTCCAAAGCAATGGCATGACAAATTCGATAAGACTATGACTGGTAATGGTTTTCATGTTAATGATGGTGATTCTTGTGTTTATTCTAAGCATGATAGTTTTGGTTGTGTGATTATTTGTCTTTATGTGGATGATATGTTAATTTTTGGGACTAACTTGGATCGAGTAAATGAGACAAAACAGTTTTTGAGTTCGAATTTTGAAATGAAAGACATGGGTGAGGCAGATGTGATTTTGGGAGTAAAAATCAAAAGGACTCCAAATGGCATAAGTCCTCAGTCACACTGTGTTGAAAAACTTCTTCAAAAATTTGACTCTTTTAATGTCGATCCAGTTAAGACTCCATATGACCCGAACTTCCACCTAAAGAAAAATAATGGTGATCCAGTTGATCAGTCTGAATATGCTAGAATTATTGATAGTGTTATGTTTCTTATGAACTACACTAGACCTGACATTGCTTATTCTGTTAGTAGGTTGAGCAGGTACACTCATAACCCAAGCAGTGATCATTGAGTTTCTCTAAGGAGGTTGCTTAGGTCCTTAAGGGTACTATGGATTGGGGTTTGCATTACTCCAAATTTCCAGGAGTTTTGGAGGGTTTTTGTGATGCCAACTGGGTATCCGATAATGATGAAGTTAACTCCACCAGTGGCTATGTCTTCACCCTTGGGGGTGGAGCCATATCCTAGATATCTTGTACTGCTATGTCTACTATGGAATCTGAGTTGATTGCTCTTGAATTGGCAGGTCATGAGGTAGAATGGTTGAGAAACATGCTTGCTGATATTCCATTGTGGGGGAAGCCAGCTCCTTCAGTTGCACTTCATTGTGATTCGCAAGCTGCGATTGTTGTTGCACACAACCATGCCTATAATGGGAAGAAGAGACACATTCGTTTGAGGCATAAGGCCGTCAGAAATTTGTTGTCTGAAGGGGTGATATCACTGGACTATGTTAAGTCTGAAAAGAACATTGCGGATCCATTGACTAAAGGCCTATGTAGAAAACTAGTTTTGGAAACATCAGAAGAGATCGGGCTAAAGCCCGTTGTATGAATTGTGACATAGTGAACTCCTACTCACCATGAGTTCAAAGGGGAACATTATATAATAATTCGGAAGCACAATTTTTTATTTTTTGTCCATCTCTAGATGTTTGTTTTGTGCTTAGCTACAAATGAGAAAGAGGTTGAGCATATGGCTCTTTATGAACCCATATCTATATTTTTGGTGGTGTGTTGTATCTTACACTTGATGGGATTCACCTACTTAGGTGTGGGAGTGTGGTCGCTTCTTATGAGTATTTCGTGGGCTTATACTCTAGAGCACCTATGAGCATCCAGTAAAATGCGTCACCTTTATTCGCGAAATTTCAGAATATTATACATGTTCAATTGTGTGGCTCAAACTGACGGGTCCCTAACTCCCTATTGAGTTCAAGACGAAGGTTACTTGGTAGGTGAGGGATAATAGCTTGATGTCCACTATGTGTTAATTCAAGTCGCGAGACATTGACACTTATGCAATTGTTTTGTTTTGCCCAGAATTGTTTTCCCTTCTTTTCTTTTTCATATCTTTGAACCTGTGGGGGATTGTTGGAAGTTCTTGATATAAAAAACAAGAGTGTTGAGTGAAGGAAAGAAAACTAGAGAGAGTGAGAGTTACAAATGAAAAGGGGAAAAATCCCACATTGGTGGAGGGAAAGGTTTTTTCCTTATTTATATATTGTAGTATGTTAGTATTACTTAGTTGAGTGACTTGGAGGTGGGTGTTTACCACACACACGTGCACGCCGAGCCGAGCCAGGTTGGGTTGGGCTCGGTTGGGGAACGCGATAGGCGGGCGTGGATCCATTTTTTCTTTTTGGAGGAATTTTATTTGACAGAATATTCTTTATTTATTCTAGCCGTTTTTGACTGTTGGAATTCCCGGATTGTTCCCTTGATTACAGCTAACCGTTACACCCCTTGATTATTGCTCTTGATTGACCAGGTTAATCTGGACAATTTTTTGGCTAGGTTCATCCTTTGATTACGGAGTGTAACGGGCAGCTGTTTCGGCCTTAATTATTTGGCCGTTTCTTCCTCCTTCCCTGCTGACCGTTGCTCCTCCTTGCTGTCTATATAAGCTCAGTTTCTCTTCAGCAAAAATACACAGAAAATCATATCTCTCTCTTCTCTACAATTACTAAACACTATTCTTATTTTCTGAGCAAGTATTATGAATTCTAGTCGGGTCGGGTTTGAGAGTGCACACAAACTCCGGCGCCGTGCTTATCCTGAAGGGCGATCACTTCTTGTCTACTGCATTGAGAGGTGGCGCGGAATCATCCTAAAGGTCAGTGGTTCACCACGACATGACTATTGTTGTTTTTGGTTCACGCGTCAACAAATAAGTTTACTATTTTATTGCTTTTAGTACAACATCAATTTAACAGTCACCTACTCACCTCTAGCAACTTCGGCTTCGTCGCCGCCTTCAACTGTATTTGCGGCTACACCGACCGACCCCAGGCCACCATCGCCTCCTACTCCATTGTTCGACCTAGCTCAAACTAATTGTGGTATGATTATTATTTACATTTTTTTTTTGAAATTATCTTGGTTAAATTATTAGCTTCGAGAATGGGGGTGGATTGGGTTAAATTCACTAGCGACGTGAATAATGTGGGCTGGGGTGGTGTCGAATGGGTTCACAGGCGTCGAAATTGGTGGTGGGGTGGGATGGGATGGGTTCATAGGCGTTGGGTGGGGTTGGCCAGCGTGGAGGCTGATGTCGGGGTTGGGTCCAAATCGCCTCCAATTTTAGACATCAATTACCTTCTCCTTTCTTCTCTTAATACCCACCAAACTAACAATACAGTTCGATATTTTTTTACAGAAGACGCTACTTAATTTCATTTCACAACAGCTGAATTCTCCAGGTTTTCTTCTCGAATTCCTCTTCTTTTTCTTAATATCATCTTTAATGTTTGATTTCTGCATTTTGTTGTGAAATTTTAGTTGATTATTTTGTAGAATTTTGTAGTGTTTTTGAATTTTTCTGTGTTAATTAATCTGAAGAATCATGCTATGAAGAATTAGTTGAACGTAATAATCAAGGATTTCTACAGTTAGGTTGTCGTAAATGTATTGAAGGAAGATCTTGGCCTGCTTCTATTAGGGGTAATTTCGCTTTATTTTCTATAAATGTTGATACCCAATTTTGATTTTAAGCTCTTTATTCAATTTATTAAATACCCAATTCGTTATTTGTTTGATTTAATTAGTTTGATTTGATTTATTTAGCTAGGTTCTGTTGGTTGGATCCTTGGTAAGTTGAGTTCTTAGTTTTTTCTTGGGTGCATTGGGAGTTGCAGTCTTACTTGAACAAACTGATATCGAGAGACGAAGGGCTTCACTGTGATTTTGCTTCTGGCTTGGGTTAGTTTAATTAGTTTAGGGAGGATGTAAGTAACTGACTATGACTCTTATAAGCATGTTGGTTTATACTTCTGTTAGTGTTAGCTTTCATTGTCATTGATTTGGGTGTTTTTTTTTCTTGCTTCTACTACTGTATTACTAATTCGTGGAGTATGGTTTAATATGTGGGTTATTTTCAGATTATGAGAAAATTTTTAGTGTATAATTTATGACATGGATTTCTTAGTTGTGTTGTCTTTTGGGGATTGTTTTAAATTTGAATTAATAAGATGCAATTTTGATGTAAAATGAGCTTGGATTTTCAGCTTAAACATGTGAAGATTGTCATGATTTTGGTGAAGAGAATCAAGTTACACCAATAAATTTGCCGTCATCTTTATTGTGTAACCCGGCATTGTCATGGAGGCGGCGTTGATGGGGAGGATGTAAGGGTGATTCCCTTTGGAGGAGAAGTTGATGATCCATTGTATTTAGATTTACCGGAGCCTCCTCGATGCAAATCGGAGAGGAAGCCGTATGTAACTCCCATGAAAACCCTTGTAAAGAGAGCCAAGGAGGAAAGGGAATTGATGAGGTTGAATCCTTGCCGAGTTCTTGAGCATCCCCCTGATAATGGCCTTCTTGTTCCTGAGCTTGTGGAAGTGTCTAGACGAGTTTATTGGGCACGAGAGTCTCTTCTCATCGGCGTCTCAAAGCTCCTTTCCTTCATACCTGTTCTCAGATGCAGGTTAGATTTGTATATTGCATTATTTTTCAATAAATTGTTCTCCAACTACACCATTGTGTAGAAAGATTGATTCTTGAACTTGGAAAGTTGTTTTCACTAGTATTTCTCGGTTACTTAATATGAATTTACCTGTTGAATTTTTCGAGTCATTTATGATTGTTATCATTTAATAATCATTAGCCAAAGAAGGTTATTTGTTGCTCTATCAACTTCTTGTCATGTGTTTTTAAAATCAGGGTGTTCTTCAAGCTATATCCAATACCGTGTTTGATATGTAGGATTTTTTTAATGAACACATCTTGCAATTTAGTGAAAAAAAAAGTCTTAGTTGACATAGTAGTAAAAATGGTACTCCAACTTATTGTGTATTGATGGTAATTTCTTGAAATTAATTCATCAAGTTGATGATAAAATACATGAACGTTCGAGTGGACATTATGCGCTTGTTACACAACAACCCCTTCGAGGAAGAGCCAAGCAAGGAGGACAGCGGGTAGGAGAAATGGAGGTTTGGGCTCTAGAAGGATTTGGTGTTGCTCATATTTTACAAGAGATGCTTACTTATAAATCGGATCATATTAAAGCTCGCCAGGAAGTACTTGGTACTACGATCATTGGGGGAACAATACCTAACCCCGAAGATGCTCCAGAATCTTTTCGACTGCTCGTTCGATCTGTGAAATTGGTTTTAACTTCTGCCCATGATGGATAGCAAAATCCACTCAATGCATCTATCTGTGACTGTTTTACTGACTCGGTTGATAATAGCTGCTGTATTGGTTAGAGCATTACATTCATATAATTGGACAGCTGCTATGACTGTTTGTCTCATGTTTGGCATCCAAGAAACATGAAACATAAGAGTAGATATTGTGTATCTGTTAACACTATGATAGCAGCCAATATATGTTGCAACATCTGGAAAAAAAAAAAAAAAAAAAAAAAAAGCTAAGTTAATAGAAAATCTGTAATTGAATTCTCTTTGATGGCAACCATTATTGGGACTTGTAGGCTTAGCCTAATCTTCTCTAAACGATGTGACAATATTTTCAATTGTGAGTTGTAGTCAGTTAATTATTGGCTCGTTTATTTTCCTCAGTACGTGTAGATGACTTTTTGTTCGTTTCAGGTTCTGCTCAGAAATTCATATTGGCCATGTTGGGCATGAAATACGTACCTGTACTGGACCAAGGAGTGGTTTCCGCAGTGCTATGCATGATTGGAAAAAAGGACGCTTAACTGATGTAATCTACTTTCCCAAATGCTTCCACCTTAATGACCGCGTTGGGAAACCAAGAGTTGTCCATAATGAGAGATTTGATGTCCCTCGTATCTCTGCAATATTGGAACTCTGTATACAAGCTGGTGTTAATCTAGAACAGTATCCTGTGAGGAGGAGAACAAAACCTGTCTACTGCATTGAAGGAAGAATCGTAGACTTCGATCCTGAAATGGATGAGAGTAATGCAAATCATGATAAAGGTCATAGTGATGATAATCTCAAAATAGATTCTGGTTTCATGACAGAAGTAGAAGATATGAAAGGTGATTCTATAAAAGACCTTATTCATCCATTGGTACGACTGAATCCTGAGAACGGAGGAAGCTTGAAAGAATTGAGCATTGGGACAATGGCATCTTGGTTTGAGATGATATCAGGTGCACGAAAGATCATGGAGAAATACTCAGTATGGACGTGTGGTTACTGCCCTGAGGTTCAGGTGGGTACCAAAGGACACAAGCTGAGGATGTGCAAAGCCAGTAGGCACCAGTCTCGTGATGGTTTGCATGCGTGGCAAGAGGCAACCATAGATGATCTTGTGGGCCCCAACTATGTCTGGCATGCTCGAGATCCTTCTGGCCCACCCTTGTGCAACAATTTTAAAAGATACTATGGCAAGGCTCCAGCTGTGGTAGAGCTGTGTGTGCAGGCAGGTGCGCCTGTTCCAGAACAATACCGAAGCATGTTGAGATTAGATGTGGTTCTTCCTGATATTGATGAGGTGGATCTTGTTGTATGATGCTTGTTACAAATAAAATGTTCATTGATATGTGATGGTGAAACCTTTCTCATAGTGAGCAAGTGGACAGAACAATGGAAATTTAGTGATACCTTACTGATTGCATCGATGAACTCACATGGATCAAACTAAAAATGAAAAGCAGAGAACTATTACTAATGAGTTTATTCCCTTGCTCTTATTGTCATGATGTTCATGACATTGTGTCAAGCCATCAACATGGCTAGCTAGCCCAAGGATTCCGGCTTGGGGTGCTTCAATGCTACAACTTTGAATAATCGCATTTGATGGTCTATTGTCATTTCTTAATAAAGAAGCTGATCAAGCATTGAAGCCTGGTAAAGTATATTGTTTTACATTTGGAATCATACATATTTCCCTTTCAGGTTATGCAGCTTTCCCTCTCTCCTAGTGGACAAAGAAAAGCTAACCATTCATCATTGCCTCTGCTAGTGAGTCTGCAGGAAACTGTCCATTAAATCAACTCCTCAACATTTGTCAAGCCATGCCTTGGTTTTGTCTGATCTTAAATGTGGCTTTCACAATATTGAGTTTGAATAGTGGCTGTGCTGAAGTCGCTCCAGCTTGTGCAAAAATGAGGCTAACTGTCCACCTTGTTACATTTCAGGAGCTAACTCCAATGGCATACGAATTATAACCATAGACAAACATCGCTCACTCATCTGGAAGCCCTTGCTGCTGGAAGGATGACTTGGTTTCCTAATGAAGCTGTTGTGATGCAGAAACAAGTATGTTCTCGAAGTTTTGCACTCATCAAACTGCACTATGAACTTATGAAGACTTGTTATTGTTTGTAACCTATACCTACACAGTATTCAATTCTGGTGTGCTTTGAGGAATCACTTTCTGAAGCTCCCATGATCCGAAAATTTTATCAATCCTGTAAATTAGCCATTGTCTGAGCTAGCTTTGTAAAAACTAATGGGTCTAAATTAATAACTATTGTCTATAGTTTTGTTTTGGACTTTAATAACAAATTAATAGTTATTATTATAAACAATTTTTAAATTGTAGAAAAACCCATGAGAATATGATGAAATGATGATAATAACAAATTAATAGTTATTATTATAGTTTTGTTTTGGACTTTAATAACAAATTAATAGTTATTATTATAAACGCAGGTATCTTGGAGCAGAGGAAGTATTGTTTGATGCAATTGGGTCAAGTCCGTTGAATCCACAATTATTTTAAAGTCAAGGTCCCTAATGTTGCCAAAGGAGATTGAATTGCAAATTATACAACTATGTATTGAGCTTATTGATGATGGCCTGATGGGTGGTCGAGAACTCGAGATCATTCCTGTTTCTCTTGCCAATTTTCAAATTATGGCGGTAGATTGGTTTGGAAATATTAAGTTTGCTAGCCAAATACTTGTATTTGTAGCCCTTACAAACCTTAGATGTGATCGATTTTCAACGATAAAGGAAAGATGAGAAATCCAATTCTCCTCGAGTGGTTAGGCATAAATATTAGAAGGGGCACTCTTGACTATTGGCGTAAAAATGAGAATCTAGAATCAAACAAGATTTGGCTGCGCCAAATGAAAACTTAGGATGCACAATTTGAAGGTCGGGAATCTCTAACTAAAGAGAGGCCACAACATATGGTAGTTATTGATTGCTTGTTGGTGCAGTGTTGATTGAGACTGCACTTGGTAGGAACAATCACGTGTTTAATCCCCCGCAACAATAATTGGGAGAGGGGAATGGAACATAACCACTCAGAATTGATCCCAAATTCAGATTAACCCAAAGGGTAAACTGGGTGGAACACAAAAAACAAAAAACATATGTTAGTTTCATATTGCGGAAGACTATAGCAATTAGCTACAAAATTTGATATTTATTGTTAGCAACTCCAGATAGAATCAGTAGAGACTTATTGGTAAATTAACTTTGTTTTTAGTATTGATTAAAATAAGGGAAATTCTCGATGGTAGCCTTCTACTATTACTTATTTTCTATGGTAGCCAATTTTATTTTTTATTTTTAGATTCCCAATAGTAGTATTCTACTTTTTAAAAGTTGCAGCCGTAACCTTAATTATGTATTTCCGTTAAATTTCTGTTAAATCTAATCTTATTTTAATGAGACGTTTAAAGGTGTCTGTCAAGGAGGATTGAAGCATTTGAAAGTTACCCTAGTCTCTTCATGAGTCATCGTAAGCCAATCTCACGCTATTTCTTTTTTTAAAATGAATAACAGTCCGTCTAATATAAATTTATAACTCAAGAGGTGCCTATAAGTCTATAACATCCATTTTTGTACAAGTAAACGAGGAAGTACTAATAGAGGTTAGATATGTATGGGGAAATAAATAACATGGAAATATTGTAAATACTACCTCTGGTTCTTGTTAGTTGCAACAAACATACATTTTGCAGACTCCTAGGCAAAAGTTTTAAGGGGGGTTAATGAAGTATATGGGTATGTCGTCCCATTTTCACTTTTAGAAAAGCAAGTGGGAAAAGGTTTTGAGTGAGTTCCCCTCTTCCCCTCCCCAGTTTTTTTTTTTTTGCTGACTTTTCAAGTTAGTGGGAAATTTAATCCCCACTTGATTTCCCTCCTACTTTTTGCACGAAAATTCAAATTTTCAGCCAAAACCCCCCAAATGGTCACTGTTCATTAAATTTAAACAAAAGCCCCCTATAAAAAGAGGATACCCCATAATAACAACCCCATTTACAGTTTCTGTTTCAATGGGGATTGGGGAGGGGGGGATTCATAGTTAATGTTTACAAAAACCAGAAGTTTAGCTTTACAAAAGAAGGCAGCCACCTACAAATTACATCATCCTAAACTTAAATCAGAATTACCCTAATTTCTAATTGTTGTGTTAGTACTAGCAGCATCTATATTTACAGGAATTAGGCTCCATTGAAGATCGTCCAAAAAACAAAAAACTAGCCGCCACTTCATCACCACAAGCCAACCTGAAAAAAAAAAAAAAAAAGATAAGGGACTCATGGCAGAGTTCGTGGAAGAACTTATTTTTTTATTTACATCAACTGTATGATGAAGAACAAGTTATGACATCACACCACCAGGCAATCAATGAAGCATAAATGGAAGATGAAGATCCATGGTGGTATGAATTAGATGGGGATGAACAGCAGGGCAACAATGCAGATGAAGATGGTTATGATGCAGATGATGATGATGAAAACAGTGATCATCTACAAAATTATGGCAGAAACAACAGAGAGATGAATGTTAAAAAGAAAAGGGCACTAGTTGATGAGATACTGCTGCACATGGAGGGGGACTCATTACCAAGAGGATTTTTATCCAACTTGGCCAAAAAAATTCTGTGCACAAATCAACAACAACAAGGTGGTTCCAGGTAATTAAAAAAGCCATAGAAGAAGGAAATGCCATAGATGTTAGGACCAAAATTAGGCGGAACAAGATCCAAACCCAGGGAATTCAGTGATGAATTCCTAACATCCGTTTCCTTGTACAAGAGAACCACTAAAAGGGGCTATGCTGCAACCCTTCACATTTCAAAATCAACTTTGCATAGGCTAAGAAAGAAAGACAGACTTAGAACACACACAAGCACAAATCATCCAACCCTTACTGATAATCATATAATTGCAAGACTTAAGTGGGTTCTCAGTCACATACACCCCATCCTACCAGAAGGGGACCCAACATTCATTGACATGCAACAAGTCATTCACATAGATGAGAAGTGGTTTTTCATAAATTAGAGACAAGGACATTCTACCTTCTCCCTAAAGAAGAAGATCCTTACGGGACCCAACAGTCAAAGAGGTTCAAGATTAAGGCAATGTTTATGGGAATGATAGGGAAACCCGTTTATGATGCAAACAAGAACTTGTTACATGATGGAAAATATGGTCTTTTTCCTTTTGTGAAGTATGAAATGGACAAAAAATAAAAGTAAAAATAGAGACAAAGGGACCCTAGAGACAAAGGTTGTGCAAAGTGTCACCAAGCTGGAAGCAACCAAGGACATGTTACTCACACATGTAATCCTAACAATTCATGAAAAGTGGTTTGCACAACTTCCTAAGGACATAACAATCCAATGGGATAATGCTAGGCCACATCAAGTTCCTAAGGATGCAGAATTTCAAGCAACTTGTCAAGAAAATGGTTTTAACATTCAATTCATATTTCAGCCAGCACAATCATCAAACACAAATGTTTTGGACTTAGGATTGTTTAGTGTGATTCAGTCACTGCAATATCAATCATTTCCAAAGACTCTTGATGATCTTATAAAGGAAGTTGATAGATATTTTGGGGAATTAGATCCAACATTGAACAAGTATACATGGATCACACTACAATCATGCATGATTCAAATATTGGCAAAGCAAGGTGGGAACAACTTCACACCACCACATATGAAGAAAAGAAGCCTGGACAGACAAGGGATTCTACCAGAATTGCTAGAGGTGGACAGGGGACTCATTGCATCAGCAATATAGTACTTGAACTCAATCTCAGTTCAAACAACAGCTCAAGATGGGCACAAATAGAAGTAGATGCAGACTGATGAAGAACAAGAAAGCAGGGAAGTTTTTTTGGGAAACATAGATTGCCACACATAACCATTTAATACTCCACTTATTTTTTGAATGTGTTTGTCTTGGTTATGTGTATTTTGGTAAATACTTAGCAAATATTATTAGGCAGTCATGTAATGAATTAAAGTAATGTTTTGTAAAGGGCCAAACACTTTTGAAAGTAATGGAAAATCAAACACTTTTGTACACTCATTCCATCAGATAGGGTTTTTTATCAGTCCAAGCTTTATTGGGTGTTGGTACCTCAACATAAACTTCAATTAGAAGTTTCTAGAGCATCCATACAACCCAAGTAGCTATCAGATGAGTCCCATCATCATATGGAGAACAAACAAGCTGATGCATTTAGGGGAAAGGGACTCTATGCATCTTACCAACAACCAACATATGGGACTCATTTTAGGTATGAAACAACCACCATAACCAACATTTTCAGTCAAATTAGCCCAAACAGAAGCACAATGGATAGGGGTCAGTGCTTAAACTCCAGTAAAATCAAGGGCACTTAACAGTCTGTAGTACATGCCATCCAAACAAGATAACATAATTAAATAATCATGCAACATGGAACAGGGGACTCAATGATTTCAAATTTTACACAAATCTCAACCAACTTCAAGGTAAACAATAACACATAATGTAGCATCAAACCTAGGGTTTGGGTTGGGACTCAACAACCATAACATCGCAATCACAAAATCAAACAGATACGAAAGCTGAGTGAAATAAAAAAAAAAGATTAGGGTTTTAGAATTTATGCCGCTCAATCAGTTAGAAGGAATCTAGTACTGAGGGTAGTAAATCTAAAGGTAAGCCATATAAACATCATCTGGCTCCATACCGTTAGGAAGCCCAGATCTGATGCGTTTGACACCAGAGAAAGGACTAGCAGCAACACCACCATTGCTTTTAGGGGACTCAGATGCTTGAACAACCTCGCTAACCACCAGATCTGCTGGGTTGCTCTCCCCAGTTTCAAATTTGGCATCACCAACCTCAACAACAGCATCAAGGGCCCCACCAGTAGCCAAAGGCTCCTCCTTCACAGTAGTTTCAACCATAGCTAAGGCCTTAGGTGGTTGAGCATCAACCTTTGCCTCAAAGACCACCTCTTTTGGCTTCTCCTTCTCATTGCTGGAGATGTATTCAGTAAACTTAGCACCGCGGATCCTCCTCCTCGCAATGATAGCAGCGCGATGAATTGGTTTCATGTTACCGGCTTCGCGTTGCGCCTTGTACCTAGTGGTTTGGGATCTAGCCTTGGGCTTAGATCTACTATATTCGAGAGTTTCATAATAGAAAAGGTCTGGATTTTCATCATTTGGAGTAGTCATGGCATAGAAGGAAGCAAATGAAGAAGAGAGATGGAGGAGAGAGAATGGTGGGAACCCAGAAACTGAAGAGAGAGA